AAGTCTTGCAATAGATGATGATTACATGAAAATAGAATCTCCTAGCTAAAATGCTAGTTGTGACAAAAGCGAAGGATCTTGAGCAATCGTGAAAAATTTTCCTTAATTATCTTGATAGTTTTTTTTGTGTTTTGTTAATGAAAAGGTATATTAAAATAAGGAAATTTTTTTCCCAAACTAACCCGATCCTCTTTTCTGGTATAGAACCTTACGCCAGTCCTTTTTCACCTCGGTTCTTCTATGCATTGTTCATTCTCTCCCATGGTCCTGCCAAAATTGTTAACTGTCGATGGGTCATGGTCGACATGAGCATCGAATCTCATAAAGCTCCAACCAAAGAACTGTATGAAATCAGTTTCTTTTGGATCAGTATTATCAAGACTGATGAAGTTTTCAGAAAATTGAGGTAGAGGTCAAGAAGGAGAATGAAAAAAAATCAATTTTGATAGAGGGACGGGGGACGACCATAAACATGACGATCATAGAGGCAAAGTTAAAAAGCTTGTGAAGTTATTTGTTGTTAAAACAACATAGTTTTATATTTGGGTTATGTGTTATTGTATGCATAAATGTAGACCAATCATTTTAAAAACCTAGATATGGGTAAAATTGTAATCTTAGCTTTTAATTAATTTTGGTAATTAATTATTCAAATCATAAACCCTTTAATTTAGGCAAAATCATTTATTTTTACCGCTTTAAAACCCTAGACAGAAAACATCGCCCTTTTACAATCAAGCAGCTCTCGGCTACTCCTCATCCTCCCGTCCTCATTGGCAAGCCAAAGCCTTTTCTCTCTTCTTCTCGGCTCAATCTTGATTCCGTAGTCCGTTTCCTTCTACTTCATCGCTGTTGTTTACCGCCGGAGATATCAATTAAATCACATAGACGCCCACAGCCACACAACAACGTAGGGATCGTCGTTCTCATTCATCGCTCCCTGAAAAATTCACGGAGATGGCGATGATAGTCGAAGGTGAGCCACTTCTAATTTTCAGTTGCAGTTACCTTCCCCATCCGATTGTATTGTTCGTTTGTTGTTAATTTAAACCTAGCAATCGAATGTTATTTAGAAGCCGTGTGGGTAACAGTAGCAATCGAATTTTGGGGCTAATATCCAAGTTCAAATTGATCTCAGTTCTAACTTCTATTTTTGATCAAATACGGATCAACAGATCAAAGATCATCAAGAAGTACAACAAAATAGATATATGTAGGTGTATAATTTGTTATTAAATCCAAAAGTCAATTTTCATCTCGGCTTTTCCCTTTTCTTTCAGTTTACTGATTTAATTTCCATTGAAATTGATGATTGGTATGTCGATTCTCAGCAGATTCATGATATAAATCCCTGTTTAATTAGTGGATTCAATTGACTTTTGCTGTCTAGAAATGGTCATTGGATAGTTCTTGATGAACTTAATCTCGCCCCTTCTGATGTTCTAGAAGCATTAAATCGGTTTGTGTATTTTATACCATTCCAATTCTATCGGAATAGAATCACGAATTCAAATTATATCAGAATGGAAACACGAATTCTAATTCTGTTGGAATGGAATATGGATTTTTTTCTCATTGATTATACATGTTCTACAATTTTTGGTTATTGATTTTGGTGCAGTTAACAAGTCCGCATATTTTTCCAAAGGAATATAGTTTTTTATTTATCATTTGCTAATGCGTTATTGGATTCTAAACTACAATTGGATTTGTTTTCACAGAAGTTGATGCTTGAAGAAGTTGATGCATGAAGAACGGACAACAAAATTAAAAGTGTTTCTTAGCAACATTATTCTTTTAGAATGAATTAGTGTATTTGTTAGATTTTGATGTTTTTTTCCCGATTTGAAAGTTTTTTAGTTTTATTCTTTAACAATAAATGTAATTCTTAACAATTGTTACATGTATTCTATAAGAATTAATGTAATTTTATCATTAATTCTTCAATTGCTGGTTCGAGAATTTGTTATTCGATAAGAAATTTTTAAAGTCATAATCAAGAAATATGTTCAAGAATATTTTTATTATTTTATTGTTCTAAAATATTTTTATTTTTGAACATACTCAATCATATTATGTCAGAATGTCCGAATTAAAAACCTTATAATTAGTAAAACTCGGAGTTTTAAAATTAATAGAATCTATGATCCCTTAAAATATGCAAATTTCATTTATTAAATATATATTAATTGACTAAAATACCCTTCTAGTTATATTGGATGGTATTTTTCAATTATATTTAATTCAATAATATGTATTAATTATTTTCTTAAAATAAGTAAAATGATTGGCCCATATTTATGCACACAATAACACAATAATTACTTTGAATAGAAAAACCTAAGCCTATATATATATATATATATATATATATATATATATATATATATATATATATATATATATATATATATATATATAATTAATGTGTTTGACATGGCTTCCTTAATAAGGTCCACATAGGGCCCGCCCAAATATGAGTTTGGTAACTTTACACTCTTAAATCCATAATTTACACCATCAATGTGTGCATTGGTCTTAAAGTAAACCATACAAAAAAGTTTGTAAGCTCTTACACCACCATGGTTATAAACCCAGTACAAAATTTGTTCTTCCTCCAATGAGTCCACGTCCACTTGGTTTTGCCAAATTTCATTCAAAATACTCAATTTTGAGTATTGATATCTCATTCACAAATACTCTATTTTGGACATTTTATTGTTTCGAAACTCACATAAGAGAACACAAATCACTAAAGATTAATTATATATACATCATATTTACTTATTTAAAAGTGTCCACGATTTAGTAAAAATACATAATTTTACTAATTTTTCCAACATTACGTTACTTCCCATACAATAAGGGTGTAAAATCACGACCACATATAAATGAAACATAAATATGTCACATGTCATCTTTTTAAAAATAATGATGTCACATGTCATTTCTTGGAATTTTTTTTATTTTACTTGATATAAATCACATATTTTAAGCGGTTTAAATTTTTAAAAATTTAATTAAGGAATAATAAATCGTAATAAAATCCAGAAATTAATTTGAATTCAAAATTTAGCAATAAATTAAGAATGTAATATATTGTCTACGTTATTATAATTTGTCAACCATGTAGTATATGTGTTTAAAACCTAGTACCTTACTAAAAAGAACCCATTTGATACGTAAAGTTGTGGGGTTTTCCACACATGGATAGTTTAGTGTTACGTACATCGTATGGTTTAAACTATACCAATAATTAGTGCTTTTAGCTATATTTTTTTTGGTTTAAATTATACTGATGTGATCGCTCGATGGGAGCTTACAATTCCCTAAGTGAGTTTGGTTTTGGAGATGTTGAATTGGACAAATTTGATCTATTTGGATGTGGTTTGTTTGACTTTTTGGGGGTGATTTGGTGTTACAGGAACCAAAGGTGAGTATAGGTAGGTATCCGACAAATTTGATATGAATCGGAACCGGTGGATTTTGGAATGATGGAATTGGTCGTATCTATTTCTACATTCTTAGAACCGATTCTAGAATAGTTTCCAGTACAAGGTACATGATTTTTTTATTCATCACCTCTAAAAAAAGAATTACAATGAGTAACAAATGTAATATAAACTAAAAGAAAAATATAATTAGCAACATATAAACAAAATAATGAAATGATAGAAGGTTATGGATGTTTGTAATATAGAAAATAAACTCTGACAAAATCAACTCCATTCATAAGGTGGTCAATCTAATTTCAGATTTGTAGCTTTTTGTTTTAGTTAAAAGTTAAAATCTTCTACTGTCGAATGGATTTTTTTTTGAATTTTTCTAAAAGCTAAAAGTTAAAAGCTCTTAAAAGCTACGTGCCAAACACATCAATGTCTAAGTTGTAACCAATTGTCAATGCTATTACAAGTCATATTTGTAAAACCTAAACAAAAATTAGGTTTAGAGACCATGATGTAAAACAACATTTCGCCAATTTTTAACCATCTTAAGATTGAAGCTTGTCATATTCGAATATGGGTCCACTTCAATTTGAAATGTTTCATACCATACCAAGTGGTCACTGAAAGAATGTTTTGATAGTTGTTGATTGAATCAATATCTAAATGAATCAAACTCATCTCTGATCGGATCAAGAAAGAGACATATCATAGGCTTCTAATTATGATATAATCCAACCGAATCAGATGCGGTCTTTCTTTGTCTTTCTTTGTCTTTCTTTTATTAGACTCATTAAGAATCATATCAAGTTATCAAGTTGCCCCTTACCTGACATTACTTCCATAAAAAATAGCTTTAGAAAGTCGGTCTAATATTGTATGTGTAGTCTAACTACTTAGTAAGGGACATAAAGACTTTTAATTATGGTACCAAACTATCCGAGCGAGTGAAACTGTCTTTCTTTTATATTTCTTTTATAAGACTCATTAAAAATCATATCAAGCTAACCCTTACATAACATTACTTCCATAGAAAATAGCTTTAGAAAGTCAGTCCAATTTTGTATGCCTCGTCTAACTAAGTAGTCTAACGGAACCCACCACAACAAGAGCAACACAATTAGACAAACAAATGATTTGAAGAGTCATCTTCACGCATTATATAGCTCTTTGCTTCCTCTCAAACATATTCTCCATACAAATTATAAAAGATTTGCAAGCAAATAAATCACACATAACACAATGTATCAAGTCAAGAACAATGGCACACAAAGAGAGAGAAAAAAAACAAATTTGAGATAAATACATCCCCAAATGAAGGATCTTTAAATATAAATCACATATAAAAGACAAGTCTTTTTCTCTGGTCACTTGCACATATTGGCACCAAGAGTTCAATACTCTCAAAACCCCAATATAACATCAAATAAATAGACATTAAATCACATATAAATAACTTACTAACACATACACCCAAAAAAAAGATTCTAGGTCTTCTAACTCATAATCTTGATTCCCTTTCCTAATTTGTGTAATTAGGCTTAAACCAATCATATATCAATTGTCTGAAGATTTTTCAGCACTTTTCTCCTCTAACAGTTTACCAGATTCATCATCAACCTGGGTTGCCTTCTTTTCTACTTCTTTAGCCTTAAGTGCCTGTAATTTCGCATGATTATAATAAGCAACACCCAAGAAAGCAATGCCATAACCAAGTAGATTAATGGGGGTCACAGTGTCCTTGATCACAGACCAAGAAAACGCAATCAACAACCAATCTTTGACAACTCCGGCCACATTCATCGTCAATGCTGAAGTCTTTCCAACAAGTAAAAACACAGCAAGATTCAAAGCGAATGCACACAAAGAATTTTGTGCCAAAGATGAAGTAATCGAAATGGAAACTTGAGGTATCTCTGAGTTTGGGAAACTCAACGATGATCCAAGGGATAGATAAGAAGGCAAAACAACAAGGAGCGACATAGTAAAGAGAAGTAATTGGATTGAATGTAATGCCTTTCGAAGTCAACAAGATCTGAATCAAAACCAATCGGGTAGCCTCGAAACAAACAGCACCAAGCTGTAACATGACACCCCAGCTATTGAATTTAGCTTCGCCGTAAGCGGCGATGGCGACACCGAAGGAGATTGATAGCATGTTAGTCATGGTATTGCCTTTAAACCCGTCTTTTTTTTTAACAAAACGCCGATGGAGTAAACGGCGACAGGCATTAAAGCTTTGAGCATTTGAATGAAAGAAACAGAGAGATAAATGTAAGCGGAATTGGAAAGCCATAAACTGAGAGAGTAAAGCAAACCGATTGGAACGACGGATTTGAGATAAATATCGCGAGTCATCTGAACTGGTTCGACGACTTTGAGAACACTGACGAGGATGTATGCTAATGAAGAACAGAAACCCATGTGGATCATGGTTAGTGAGATTGGGTAAGGCCAATCGTACATCTTCCGATCGAGGATGTATTTGTTGTAGACGATGACTGTGAAGCTGAGAGAGATCCATATTGCGACGTAGGTGTATGACAGGATGATCTTCTTTAATACGCCTTCGCTTAGGGCTCCTCCTTTCCCCATTGTTAACGGTGAACTGGAATGGATCTGAGTGATTAATTAGTCAATATTGATAAAATCAATGGGAGAAAAGAAGAAACCCAATGTGGGATTAGGGATCTATGGCGGATGGAAGATGGGTTTTAAAGAGATTTGAGTGAATTTAGGGGAATTAGGTTAGAAGAAAACGTTGAATTTACGGAGTTTTTGTGTGTGTTTTAGTGTGTGTGTAACGGGGTAGGTGACGACTGATGAGGACCGAATCGCGTTTTTACACTTTTACTAGTCTTTGTGAGGGTGACATGCTAAATAGACAGATACTAAAGCTTTTCTAAAAAATATAAAAAATAACAATATATTTTAATTTATTGAATATCTTTATTAAACTAGAGTATTTTTATTTTTAAAATTAGTTGTATTACCTGCAAAAAAAATATTAATTTATAGTCTTAGTCCATACGGTTTGTAGTATGAGTTATGTTAATGGTTGCAAAATCCCTCAAATTTGGTCATTTAGGCACTTATTGTTACAATTTTGTATATAAATATGAATAGATTACAAATTTGGCATATTTAGTTTATACATTTTATTAATTTGGGTTGAGGGTATTCCTTGTGATTTTATAGACCAAAGTTGATAGATTTTGCAACCATAAAGACAACTCATATCAACTTTTCAAAATTAGGATTAAACTTGCATAGAGATGCAAACCATAGGGACCAAAACCATAGTTTATTCAAAATAGTAAGATAACTGGATTGAAAACAACTCAAAGTGACTATTGAAACAAATAAAAAGTTTTAATGTGTTATCTAAGATCAACTTATGATTCACATGAGAGTGTGTAAAATGGCATACGAGTTTTAACATTTAATGTATTTAGACATTTGAAATTTATCCAAAAGAAAATATAAATGCTATAATAAACAAATTGTAAATCCAATCAACTTAAAACGTTATATTAAAAATGAATTTACATAAGTCTTCTTATTCTTTGGGTTTTCATATAACAAGTGGTAATCATTGGCGAATATTATATAGACGAGAAATGGCCGAATAATTGATACAATAATTTTATATGGTTTACAAAGTCAATGGACCGTATATTTTAAAAAAATTATTAAAATGGATTATCGTTATATTATTAGGTAATTAGTTCTCACCCACTTCTTATTATATAGCACACGAAAATAATAGTGTCATTATCTTTTAGCCATCAGATAAATCTACAAATTTAGTTTTATTTTTTTTTAGAACCGGCGGCATTTATTTGTGGAGAAGGGGAGAAGTGTTATTTATTTGCTCCAAATAAAATTTAGTTACAACATTTAGGGCATATTTTTTGGCGAAAATTATCTAAAAGTTGAAAGCTAGAAGTTAGATGTTAATATTTGTGGATAAGCATTTGGTAAAACGGTAAAAGTAGTTGTGAACATAAAAACCCAAAACTAAAAGTTAAAAGCTCCTAAAAATTATTTGAATTAGTTTTTGGATTATGAGTTTTTTTATTTAAAATAAAATCTGATACCTTCTATTGTCCAGGGATGTCAAAAAGTCACGTGGGACCCCGATCCTGTGGGGGCCCCGTCCCGTATGGGGGGCATTTGTTGAAAAAAATCGGGGATGGAGGTGGGGGCGGGGGCAAGGTTAACCCCCGTTTTAGTTTCGGGGGCGGGGGCGGGGGTTGGCAGTCCCGTCCCGAAACCCTCGTGGGGGTCCCCGTTAATAAATTATATATATTGACATATATTAATTATATAAATATAATAAACGCTAAAATGATTTTTACGTACAAAAATTCAACAAAAAACATATTTTTAAGTTGTTTGTAATATGTAAAATTATGCTACAAATAACTATTTGTTATTCAAAAAATAGTTTATTTTAATCCAAACAAGAAATTATTTTATCCCAAATAAGGTAGTCCAAAATCAATCGGGGGCGGGGGAAGTGGGCGGGGGCGGGGGTAAGAAGGGGAATTCGGGGGCGGGGGCGGGGGCGGGGGATGCAATCCCCGTCCCGTTTGCCCCCGTTGACATCCCTACTATTGTCGAACAAAAAAACTGATTTAAATTACAACTCTTCAAAAAAAAATTACAAGTTTGTTATAGTGGATGACATATTTTGAAAATAAAAAAATTCAAAATTTTAATCTAGAGAATTAGAACAAATTTTTAATTAGATATAAATTTCAAATATGGTATTTTTCATTCATTATGTTTCAAACTATACTTATCTTCCACATATTTGAGTTTTCATAAGAAGCCACTAAGAAATCACGTTTATATAATCAAAAGTCAAAACACAGACGTTTATAAGGCTAAATATAATTCCGTTAAATTTAATTAAAATTTTTGTTTAAAGAAAGTATCATACTTCAACTCAAACATATAGGGCGTGTTCGGCAAAACTAGCTGGTAGCGAGTAGCTTGTAGCGGGTAGCTTGTATCTTGTAGCGTTTTGTTAAACGATACATGAAGTAGCTTTTGGATTTGAAGCGTTTTGTTTAAACTAAACGCTAGAAGTTTGTAATGTCAAACAAGACTTTCTGTTCAAAACAGAGCGTTTTGTCAAACGCTAAAAGCTAGAACTCTCAAACGCTCCTAAACGCTCCGTGCCGAACACGCCCATAAACATCACCAAAAACTGAAAAACTATAAGTATTCATTCTTGACTCAACTTGAAGTCTTCATCATTCCAAAATGATAAAAACAAGTTTAAATATCTAAAACTTGAGGTGAATTTTGTTCATCAAGAATGATATCAACTCCAACACAAATGAGTGTTTATTAAAAGAAATTATGACTTAATAAACAAAATTTAATAGATGAATACCTTGTCAGTTGCAAAAAAAAAATTACAAAAAAATCAATAAATCAATTTTTGGTATTTTTATATAATTTATATTTAAGTTTTTTAAACATGTTTGAAAACCAAACATAAACCAACAAATAATTTTATTCTATATCATAACAACCTAACAGTTTTGGTCCTTGCGTTTTTTACTGGATTAATTACAATTTTGGTCGTTACAATTTTTAATTTAGGAAATTATATTTTTGCTTCTGTAGTTTTGTAATTCTTAAAAAGATGAACTAATTACAGTTTTTCATTTAGAAAATTATATTTTTAGCCCGCGTACTTTTTAATTCTAAAGTTAACTAGAAAAAAATGAGTAAATTACATTTTTGGTCCTTATGATTTGTGTTCTTCTACACTTTAGGTCCAAATTTTGAAAACTTTACATTAATGATCTTTACAGTTGGCAAAAATTGCACATTTGGTTCATGTGGCTGTTACCATCAAGCCTTCTTTGTTAAATATCTTAAAAATGACCATTCTAGCCTTACTTTTATCATTTTCCCATTTTAGTTTTTATTTATATATAGACAAAATTGCAAAAATGGTCCCTGTGGTTGGCAAAATTCTGTGTTTTTGGTCCAAAACGAAACGTTGGTGCACCGCTGGTCCAATTTTGAATTCTTTATGCGGTTTAGGTCCCCATGTTTCACATTTTAATGTGGTTTTGGTCCATACCCCACCTGAAATGACGAATATACCTTTATATAACTTTTTTTTTTATTTTTTTAATTGTTTTCTTATTATTTTAATTAAAAACAAATACAAAAAAAATCCACCCCACCCCAGCCCCTACATCTCTCACTCCTTACATTGACTCCACTTCCCTCCTACACTTCATTTCTTGACACTACTACTGCCGACGGACCACCACCTACCAGACCACCACGGCCGCCGGACCACCACCTTCTACATGTCACCCGGACCACCACCACCGTCGGATCTGCCCCTTTTGCAATTTTGTCCTCCACCTACGACCTTGACTCCGACGACGACAACAACCCACCTCCCACAGCCTAAACTGCCAATTTCTCACCCCACCTCCCATTGTCTAACCTTGAAGACACTAGCCACCCCAGATAAACTTAAATCCCCAAATCAAATCCAAAAACTAAAGTCCCCATATCGAATTCTCCACAAAAATCAAATCCAAAAATTGCTTCTAATATTTTTTTAGAAACCAAAATCAAAAGTCGATAATGGAGTAGAAAATGAGAGATATGAGAAGGGAAAGGGATATGGATTCTTGTGGCTTGCCTGATACGTAAATTATGGAGCTAAGGAAGTTGTGATGGTCTTTAATTTAATGCTAGTGGCGGAGGAAATCAGATAACAACAATTTGCTGGCCGGATACAACAGACTGTACACATAAAGTGAAGGTCCTAGCTCCGACGATGGCTTCAATTGGAAGGGGTGAGTTGCGTTTTGATAAAGTGCAAGTCCAATGCTTTCCGAAGAAGGCTAAGAAAGAAGCAGAGGTGGAACGATTCGGACGAGGTGAAGCCAAGGCGCCGACCTTGCCTCCGACGACGACAGAAGCCCCACCTCCCACCGCCAATTGAGGTTACAGAAACTGAAAAACATCAGGATGGTGTTCTTTTCATATCTTCATCTCGAACAAAAATTATAGAGATATATATAGTGATGATGTATTTAACACAAATTTCTTGTGATCTGGAAAAGGAAAAAGATGAACAGATATGGAGGAACAACCAGTGAACAGATGAAAAAAATAACTTTAAATCTAGAAATATTCTTCAAATCTTAACCAAAATCAGGACCCATTTCTTAGAAAAATAAACCACCAGAAAAACAATCCTACTTTTGTTTCCAAATTTGGTTTCTTGAATTAGGAACGATAGACAACAGGGAGGTGGTAGTGGAGTTGAACTAAGGAGGGGGAAAACGTTGTAAAAGCGGATAGGGGTTTCCGAAGAAGGCGAAGAAAGAAGCAGAGGTGGCCCATTTTTTATTTTTGTTTAATTAAAAACAGTTAAATAAATATAGAATAATTAAAAACCAAATATAATGGGTATTATAGTCTTTTCATGTTGATAGGGACCAAAACCAGTAAAAATATCCAATTTTAGACCAGTGGTGCACCAACGTTTCGTTTTGGACCAAAAGCATAAAATTTTGCCAACCATAGGGACCATTTTTGCA